ATATTTTTTTAATTCTTATTTCAGATTGTGAACCCAGACATTTCGAATACTGTATCAGATGACCTAAAGTTTTTAGCAAATGGTCCAGCACAACATGCTAGAAGGTTTACATCATTTAATATCAACGGGTTCAAATTTCGGACTTTAGAGCGAGAGAATGGATTGACAACTAAAAACAGTGGTGTATTTTTTACTTCGTCCACATCTTGTATTGCTAGTGGTGCTGATAGAAACCTGAGGCAAGCAGATTTGCCATATTATGGAAAATTAGAAGACATCATTGAACTTAACTACTATGGTCGATTTCGGGTTACACTATTCAAGTGTAAATGGGCTGACACAACTAAGGATAGGGGGTTTAGAACAGATGCATGGGGATTTTCTTCTGTTAATTTTTCACGATTGATTCATACTGGCGATCGTGAAGAGCATGATCCATACATTGAAGCTTCACAAGCTCAAATGGTATATTATGTGGATGATGAGGTGAATAAAGGTTGGAGTACTGTTGTTCACTTGAAACCAAGAGACTTATATGATATGGGAGGAGAAGGAGATAATGAATTTCCTGAGAATGAGCCATTCCCGGTGCAAGACTTAGATCAACACTTTGGGGATGTTAATGATCTGCTTTGGTGTAGGGAGGATGAAACTGATGAAATATTAAGTGATCACGATATTGAAAATGAGATTGGCAAAGATGAACATATCTGAAGAGTCATTGCTAGCCTTTTTCACATTTTAGAACGAAGCATCTTAATATATTTTCGTTTCAAATTAGTTCAGATTATAGCTATGTCCTTTTTTGTTCTTGACTTGCTTTATGTTGTTGCATCTAGTTACTTTCTTTCATTAATTAAGCTTAAGTTATTTATTTTTGTCTTGAAGTTTAAACTGTTTTGGTATCAAGGTTTTCTTGTTTTGTTTTCTATACCTTTATGTATATAGAGATGCCGAAGCAAAATAGGGTTAAAAATCAATTCAAATCAGTCAAAGAGAGATCTTCACTTGTTCCGAGGGAGTCATCACAGGCTCAAGCTTCATCTTCAACATTTTATCGAGTCTCTTTACATTCTACACTGCCTACACAACCTACACAACCTGTTATTTCAGTTGATGGGGTCTCTTCGCAACACGGTGTTCCATCATCATCTGATGGAGTCTCTTCGCATCATGTTGTATCATCTTCATCATCTGATGGAGTATCTTCTCAGCCCGCCGTTCCATCTTCATCATCTGGTGCAGGCTCTTCACGACAAACTGGACGTAGTACTAGCAATGAAGAGCCTCATTGGTTTGTCGATGTTATAGGTACATATAAATTTCAAGTGATTGAGTATTCTTTTTGTTTTCCTCGTTTAATGTTTTAACTTGACTTTATTTTGTTGTAGATAAACATCAAGTAATAAAAACAATTAGATTGAAGGTTAAGGATGTCCATAACTTGGATAAAGGATTGCGTATAATTGTAGAATTTGATGAATATTATGCAGCAATTGGGAAATCGGCTAGCCTAATTGCTGGAGTTTTAGGGCAGCTAGCAACAAATCCTATGTACTTTCCTATTGGCTTTGAGAAATGGCAATCCATGCCCAAATCTTTTCTGGACCGTATTTTTAATGATATAATAGTGGTAATGTCATCTAAATTCTTATGTTTAGTTTGTATCTTTTAGTTGTATATGTAAAACTGCACTAAATTAACTTACTTTATATTTGTGAAGCCTCATTTTTTTTTTACGATTGATCAACAAAAGGCAAAGGGATGGCTTAACAGTTCCATTAACAAAAAGTGGAGGGATTACAGGCTAAAACTATGGAAGGAGGCTGATGATCCATTATTAAGTAAAGAAGATATCATCAAGAACGTTCCGTATGGCATACCGATGGACCAATGGGCACTGTTTGTTACGTATCGCATGAAAGAGGAGACAAAGGTACTTTATTTTGCTATTGCTACTTCTGCTATTGCTACTTCTGCTTCTTCTTCTGTTTCTGTTGCTTTTTTTGCTACTGCTTCTCCTGCTTCATCTGCTATTGTTGCTTTTTCTTTTTCTGCTACTGCTTGCTTCTTATTTTGTTTCTTCTGCTTCTTCTGCTACTGCTAATTCTGCTTCTTCTTTTGCTTTTGTTGCTTCTTCTTTTGCTTCTGCTTCTTCTGCTATTGTTGTTATAAGATATAGCTTGATGCTTTGTTAAAATTTAATTCATCAGCAACTCTCAGCTTCTCTTTAGCACCAGAATAGAATGACTCACCTTTCTCGTCAACTTCCAGTGTTCCCAGGTCACCAAGTGGCTGAAAAATGCAGAAGCACATAAAAGAGTGCACCAAATCAATCTAGTTATATTCTATGTTACTATGTAGCTAGTGTGTTAGTGCTCCAGATAAGTGTGACTATATGCATTTTCTTTTGAATTTGTGGATTAACAATCATGTTTTTATATTGTTGAAGGAAAAACTTTGAAAGGGAAACATGGTACATGTTTCTTCTGCTACTGCTACTTCTGCTTCTTCTTTTGCTTCTCTTGTTTCTTCTGTTATAGTAGCTTCTGCTATCTGCTTCTTCTTTTGCTTCTGCTGCTGCTTCTGCTACTGTATCTACTTCTGTTGCTTCTTCTATTTCTGCTTCTTCTTCTCTACCACTTCTCTTGCTTCTGCTTTTGCTTATTTTGGTCTTATATAATAGAATTTTACCTATTTAATTTGTAGGAGTGTTGCAAGAAGAATGCACAGACTCAAAAAAATCAACTTCATCATACTTGTGGTGCTATGAGTTTGGCTAGAATAAGGGCTGCAATGGTAGTTTAAGCGCTTAAGTTAGATAAGATATATGTTCTCACTTAATTACTAACATTATTCATTTTAAAAATTTCAGAAGGCGATGGGAAAAGCTTTTGATCGAGGCAAAATATGGACTGAGACTCATAAAAGGAAAGATGGGAGTTATGTAGATGAGGCTAGGGTGATTGGGGTAAGTAACATTTTTGGTGCCTTCTGCTGTATAATTATATTTTATTTTTAGATTGGTATTGCTTGTCTAGTGGGTTTCCACAAATCACTGCCGATGTCGAAGCATGTTAGAAATGGACTTTTTCAGATATGACGTTTTATGCGAGCGATTTCAGATTCCTCTTTACTTTTTTATTTAAAATTTGGTTGACGTTGAAGCTATTATGCTTCTGCCATTTCTTTTGTGGCAGAATCAGTGTAGTGATTATAAAGAGGGGAAGAGTCGTTAAGATTGTTTTACCAGATGCAGCTGTATGGTCTTTTTAACTCTAATGCTGCCTCTCTGCTTAAAAATGCTGGAATTGGTCCTCCTGCATTTCATAATCAATTTTACCTTTATAATGAGTATTTGTACATTTTTATCTCTGTCTTCTTGATTCAGCTTTCTATTCCATTCAGGAGTTATGAGCATGAATCTGTGTCTTTCTTTTTGTAAAACCATGTGGATGTGATTTGTATTGGTTTTAATCAGGTCAAAGATAGATATTTTAATGACATTTCCAACATAAAGGCCGATCCCACATATTAAGATAAGCACCTTAAGTAAT